GAAATAAACATGGTAAGCTCTGCTTCCACTGCTGCTGTGAAGGGGGTACTTTTATTTTCTCTTTTAAAATTCATGTTCAAGAAATAAACAGCACCGATGATGACAAACTGGCCATAGGAAGTAGCCTGCATTTTCTAATGGTCCAGTAAAAATGACAAGAAGGGAACAGCAGTATTAGCGATTATGCTGGCGTATGTGACAATCCGGTAGCTGCAAACATTGCCCAAACGTGTATATCAAATTACTTATTGTTAAGACCCTTTCTTGTATTTTACTCATAGTTAGATCTTTTTTCTTTTTTTAATTAATTAATTAATTTTATTTATTTTTGGCTGCCTTGGGTCTTCATTGCTGTGCGCGGGCTTTCTCTAAGTTGAGGCGAGTAGGGGCTACTCTTTGTTGTGGTGTGCGGGCTTCTCTCATTGCGGTGGCTTCTCTTGTTGTGGAGTACGGGCTCTAGGCTCAAGGGCTTCAGTAGTTGTGGCACGTGGGTTTCAGTAGTTGTGGCTCGTGGGATCTAGGGCGCAGGCTCAGTAGTTGTGGCGCACGGGCTTAGTTGCTCTGAGGCATGTGGGATCTTCCTGGACCAGGGCTTGAATCTGTGTCCCCTGCATTGGCAGGCGGATTCTTAACCGCTGTGCCACCAGGGAAGTCCTGCAAGATCTTTTTATATTTTAGATAATCAAGACTAAGAGTTTGAAAAAAAATTACTGAGGAAAAACATCTCTCAAATGGGAAAACACTGAATGCCACAATGATCTAAGCCTATTGCTAGAGGGAAATTCGAAAACTCCAGGACAATCAGTAAGGTCCTCCCATCAGAACACCAGGGGCGGGAATTGCAGACTTAATCAGTGTCCAGTCACTGCTCTCAGAAAGCAACTGCTTCTTGTGTCTTGCTTTTCAGGGTCCTGGCTTTCTACCGCTGTAGCACTGCTGGGCAAGGGGAAATGCTACCTTGTGCTTTCAAAAGAAAAGAGAACTATAATGAAGGCATAAAATAAGCCACAGGGGAATAACAGCTAGGCATAGAGAGTTCATTAAAATAAAATGCCTTTTTTGATGCCTTATTCGATGCAACAAACGTTATGCCTGTTATTGTCTCCTGCCTCCTGTTCGTAATTCACAACCGCACGTGTTGGGGGCAGGGGTCGTGGAGGCCATCCTGCTTCTTCGTTCAGAGCTTGGTGCCTCTTCTCTCCGGGATCTTAGAGCAGGAAGGGGTATGAGAAGCCACTGGGTCTGAGATTACACCCAGGAGCTGCTGGTTACCAGAGATGCACCTGTGCTTTCTGCTGGAATCCCAACAGCAGAGCACACATCATCACGAGGTTGACAATGACCACTTTAAAACATTCTTTTTCTGCTTATTTAAAATCTGACTTCCTATAACTTCTTCCTAAGTTTTACTTCCTATACGTTAAAAAATGTTATGACGTTCAATGACAACCCTTCCAAGTAACTGGAAGTAGCTATCCTGTCTCCTCCTAACCTTTTTTCCATCTTCAACATATTCTTTCTCGAATCATTTCGCATGGGAAGGTTTCAAACTACTCACCATCCTGTAATTCTCTGCTGAATAAGCTTAAGTCGGAGTTCACTACTATTGTCATTGTTAAACTGGTACCATTTATCAAGAATCTGCTACATCCCAGAGAGGTAAATCAGTTATCTGCTTTCATCTTCCCAACAATGCCTTATTTCACCCCTATTTTCCTGCTGAGGAAAATGAGGTTCAGAAGATTCAAGAAGTTCCTTGAAATCACTCCCCAGTCTGGCGGCTCTGGAGCATGTGTACCACGTGTGAATTACACAAATGGGACCTCCCAGCAGTGGAACCGGGACTACTCACTGCCTTCCACAAACTAGACACTACACTCCCTGGAAGCAGCCTGTGATTTCCAGAACATTCCTGACAGCCACACTGCACTGCTGGTTCCTGCTGGGTTTGTAATCACCTGAAACCCAAAGTTGAGTTTCACCCGAACTGTTACTAAGTCTGCCTGGCCCTTCCTCCAAACCTATTTCTGTCTTGCACTTTATCTTTAAAAACAGAGAGAAGTTTTACCTCCCCTCCTGCTAAATGTTATCTTGCTACTTTGCTTCAGTGTCCACACCATCCATTTAAGAAACCTGGGTTCTGACACATGGGCTGTTCCTTGCTTCTAAAGCCCTTATCACTTAAAAAAGTTGTCGAGCTGTTTTTGCGTGTGTGCTGTGCCTTCACCCAAGATTCAGTTAACAGCTCAGTTTTGAGGAGAGTAAAGGCTGAAGGACACCTTCTCTAGGACAATGTTTTTCAACCTCTGTTTACCTGCTTGACCCCGTGTACCTCGCCAGCAAAGCTTTACTTTTCATAGTTTGTGTCTAAAAGCAGAGGCATTTTGTTTTTGTTTTGTTTTGGGTTTTTTTTGGTGCGTTTGGTCTTCGTTGCTGCGTGCGGGTTTTCTCTAGTTGCAGCGAGCGGGGGCTACTCTTCGTTGCGGTGTGCGGGCTTCTCATTGTAGTGGCTTCTCTGGTTGTGGAGCACGGGCCCTAGGCGCACGGGCTTCAGTAGTTGCGGCACGCGGGCTCAACAGTTGTGGCTCGTGGGCTCTAGAGCGCAGGCTCAGTAGTTGTGGCGCACAGGCTTAGTTGCTCCACGGCATGTGGGATCTTCCCGGCCCAGGGATTGAACCCGTGTCCCCTGCATTGGCAGGCGGATTCTTAACCACTGCGCCACCAGGGAAGTCCAGCATTTTGAATCTGCTTTTTCAACTAGCATCTCATTGCCACCTTGAGAACCACGTCACCGATTCACGACCCATTTTTCTTATCCAGCTAGTAGGTGACAGACAAACCCATTTCACTTTAGCATCTCCATGTTTCTCCATCTTCTCCATGGCTGTCAGGATGTCAGTAGCGGCCACACCTTCTTCTGCTGTGACACTGAGAATATTCTGCTGACAAGGATTTGTGTGTCCCAGAAAAAAAGTTACTCTTAAGAATCTGTCCAATTCATAAAAATACCTTATTATAAAAGAAAATAGCTGACCAACATTGCCATGCCACTCACAGTCTTCACAGTGACGTTAAAAGTAACACTGAATGGTACCCAGAGTTAATTACAAACCAAAAATGCTGTACTGAAAAACACAGATTAGCTGGAATGAATCTGCAGCACGGGATATAAAATAAATTTAGCAAAAGGATCAGCATGACGTGCACTGGGGTCAGCCCTGAGGCATTTATTCTCCCTACAGGAAACACTATCAACTTTCTTCTAGACTGTTCTTTAGAAAACTCTGGTAGTCGTGACCAGAGGACTGCCAGGGAAACCCTATTTATCCCATTACATAAATACAATCGGTAGAAAGACTTGCCTCCAAGTTAAGGAAAAAAGCTCCTCTTGACTTCGATGAATTTTTCCGGAAGGGAGATCCACACTGGAAAAATGCAACCTCGCTAAAGGTTACAGAAGTGTTTTAAGCTTCATAGTAAAACCCAGGTAAGAGTAGATTATTGGATCTTCTCATTTCCAGAATAAACATCTAAATCAATAATCGAACACCTTGGGCTAAGAAATTAGCCAAAAATCAGAGCCAGCGAAATGCAAGAAATGGACCTGTGCACTGCAAACCTTAGAACGCATATTTTATTCCCTGTAGTAACCCACTAATATTTGTCAGGTTATAGGATAACAAAAATTCTCTAAATTAATATATGGTAGACTGAATCTCTTTTGATCTAAGAGTTTATCTAAAACTTTTTTTCTACGTCCCTGCAATCTGTAATAATTTGATAACCCACCCCCACCCTAAATGACGTTATCAACGTGAAATGGACTTGAATCTTCTGTTCCAAGAAAAGCACTGGTGCACCAGTGCATTATGCAAACTATAAGGAATGAAACGGGGGCTGCAGGCAGAGAAAGAGGAGACAAATGAACGTGGACCATGTGGGATCAGGTGGGCTTACTGCTGGCTGTGTCTTGAGAAAAGAGAAAAGGAAATGCATGACCACACACAGATGTACGCTGGCTGCGGAGCCAGCAGACTCTCAGCACCCCGGGCAGAAGAGGGGACCATTGGAGGCATGTGGTGGGCGGGGCTGGCACAGAAGGATGTGCGATGCCCATGTAGGACCAAGGGCAAGGGGATGGAGGCGGGAGAGTAGCTCTCTGAATGAAAATATTCAATCTGAAATGGACTCAACTTGCAGAAAGAGCAAGATGCTCCCTCCCAGCTGGGGGAAAAAGACGCGGTAGGTGGTGGACAGGGCAGACCTGGTTCTCCGGCCAGAGTTCACACCTGGCCTGTGTCCCCGTGATACCTGGGAGCTCAGCAACCATCCACTGCCGCCACTCTGAACAGCCTGTGTCGCTCTCACTTGTTAACTTGGTCTGGCCAAACATCTCTGACAAGAGTCACTCACCTGCCCCTTCTCTCAGAAGAATTTTTGTTTTCTTTACAAAGAAACACAGAGGAGCACACCCCTCTACACTCGAGCTGCAATGCCCACCACCACGTGCATTTTAAAAACTACCCATTCTCCAAGCAAGAAAAGGACATTCACAGTTCAAATCATCCTACCGCTCCTGTATACAGAAATCTCCAAGTTTCTACCAATTAACAACTTGGCCGTAAGTTACGCAAACAGAAAAGGTAAAATTCATTTCAATGTTAGCTCATAGTCAGGATATTAAAGCAAACTTGATTTCTAAGGCCTCCAAAATGTCTTTCCTACCATGGAAAGTATTAGAGATTTCTTCTTCTTCTTCTTCTTTTTTTTTTTTAAACACCACATTTTTCTCTCGATTGTAACATTTTGGGGACTTTATAAGTATTTTCAGTAATTTGATCCTCTGTGAGAGACTTCGGAAATAATTTTGTGTTTAGAAACTGGGTCTGAGTAATTTTCCAGAGTTCTGGAAAAACAAAGAGGCATCTTGTATGCTTTACAGCAATATTTCCCAGCTCTCAATATCTGGGACAAAAAAAAGTTTTAAAATATACATTTACCTCTACATCGCAGGTATATTCTGATCCATCCAGAAGTATCACTTTGCACTGCATGCTTTTAGGCTTTTTGACAATCTTTAATGGAGATCGAGATAGTTTGCTGCTAGATGATTTCTGGGAAAGTTTATCGTCTTCAAATTGCTGATATTCGGGCTGTTTGGCAGGTCCGGCGCCAAACTCCTGGTCCTTGTCAGTGACCTGCGAAGAGCAAACAATGGACAGTTTTCACTGCAAGACAGGAAATAAATATTGCATTGCTCAGGCAATAACAGCACACTTTAGAAACAGGCTTTCCTATTTCCTAAAGGATGAGGGATGTCTGAATTAGGATATTAGGAATGGATATACATATACAAATACTTAGAACGCTAACAGTTACACTTAAGTAACTCCTGCAGTTTAAAAGTACCCATAGGGCCTTATTTCAGTTTGACTCAAGGATTTACATTAGCAGTGCTAAGCTCTTAGCAAATGCCACCAAGGTTCCACTAAGCAAAGGCGGGTACAAAAGTGGGCTCCTGACTTTCTAAAAGGCATCGGCTTCCACAGACACAGTGAGAGGACTTATGGTTACTGGAGGGGAAAGGGTGGTAGAAGGACAGATTAGGAGTTTGGGATTAACGAAGATACACTACTATACATAAAACAGGTAAACAAGGACCTACTGCACGGCACAGGGAACTATATTATCTATAGTAACCTATAATGGAAAAGAGTCGGAAAAGGAATATGTATATATATGTATAAGTGAATCACTTTGCTGTACACCTGAAACTAACACAGCATTTATACTTCAATTGGGGGAAAAAAAGGCACTGGGTAGTATAAGCCTTAAAAACAAATAAAGCATCTAAGATTTAACCTAATGTATTCTGCTTCTTTCATTCACTGGATCCTCCTTTATTCCATGACCCATAACTGTCCCATAAACACACCAGGTATCTTATAAATTGTAAGGCGTACATAGATTCAAGTATTAATCTTCTCAGTAATTTCACAACTGTTAAAATATTTGATTTAGCTCTAACTCAATTCAATGAAGCCAGCAGCACTGAAATTCACTACAAAGTAATCCCTTAAGTCTGCTTCCCCCTTCACTGTAATGAGCTAGTAGAAGAACAGATCAAACCTGTCCAAAAGCTTTAATCTGCTTTCAAATCACAACAGTCCAGTCCAAGCTAGACTCAGAACTGCAGAGGACATCCTATGAACAATAAAGTCCTCCCCTCAGTCAGTCCCCTTGGCAGTCTCCCTGTGCACTCCCCTCCAACAACTCTTTTTCTGCCCTTTTTCTATGTATTAAATGACCGTCAACGCACATTCAACCCAAGGGCCAGACCACAGCTTCCATGCTTCCATGGTCTGCAAATACACTCTGAAAGTCCAAAGGAAGAAATGTTTTGAAACTCAGTTTGGGCCCCTTACATAAGCACGAAATTTCCTCTCTCATGAATATACCACCAGCCTGGTGGCTAAAGTTCATTGGCTGGAGAGTAAGACCATATTGAGAGTTGCAGCTTTCTCAAGGTCACCAAACTAGTCAACTGGAATTCAGATCCAGCCAAAGCCCACACTTTAATCATCACGAGATACCAAAGCACACTTCATTCTACCTCGAACATAACTGGGCACCCGGCGTGAATGAGAGAATCTGAGAGTGGAAGAATCTTAGAAAATTATCTTTTCTGATCTCTTCGTTCTGTAAATGAGTAAGCTGAGGTCCAGAGGACTCGGAAGAGTTCTGAGACAACTGAGATAACCAGGGGGGAGGCAGGGCTAAAGTCTCGTGACTCTGCCGCCAGTCACCTTTCCCTCCAGTGGCTTCGAGTCACTCCTCTTTAGTTTCAAACGCCTGACTACAGAAAGTCAATCCATTTATTAAATACACATGTCTAATCGTGCCTGGGTATGGAAACTCTTCCTTCCCTCCGATTTCCCCCACTTTCACGTTTATTTCATTTCAGAGTTAGGAAAGAAGAGAGAAAAATCCAGTCTAGTAACTTTAAATTTCTGAAGATCTGAAAATTAACAAACAAAACACTACCACCATCACGTCTCCACAAAAAGAAAAGATAAAGGAAAACCATGATGACAGTACCTGTTCCTTTGATTCTGTTTGACAGGTTGAAGGATAACCCCCAGCTCCCTGCACAAAATGTCTGAGATCAGACAGAGCATCTATTTACAGAGCATGAAAATAAACATTACTCTTTATACCATTTAAAAGCGGAACTTAAATACCATGGGAAAAGAAATAAAATAATCAGGCTGTAAACACACAGTAGTTTAAGGCTATACCAATGTGTTGTGTTTTCCAAAGACATGCCACTTCCTTCATGTCTCTTAACATCTTCTAGAATTTCTGGCTTGACACAAATACTTCCAACCTGTAAGAGGTCAACCATGTGTAGGGACTCCCAGATTTCCTTAGCCCATGAGTCGGGACCCTAAAACATGCTGATTCCTGGTTTGAAGTTTCAAGCCAAAGAAATTTAAACACGGATTCATTCAAGGCCCAGGTATAAGTCGTGCTTTATATTTTGTAGGAAAGCTCTTACAAGGAATAATCACATATCCATGACAACTTAAACATGTTTAGGTAACAGAGTTGAAAATAGACATGTCCACGGGAGAGGGAAAGAGGCACGAACACCCGCTGTAAGTAGCTGGCAACTTTGGGGTCAGAGAGGCCCCAGGGAAAAATCACAAGAGCTCTGAACCCGAGGCTTAAATAAACAGCCGGGCGCATAATTAGAGCCGCCAGAGCAGTGTCTAGCCTCCCCGTCAACCCAGACAAAAACCACTGACCTGCAGTCCAGATTTCAGTGTGGGTTCAAATGCTTTCATCAAAGGCAGGCGTCACCAAGCAAGGCTGTGGAATGTCATTCACTGAAAGCCTTAAAATAGCCTAACTTTCCATCTGCCCAGGACCAGAAGGGGCCAAGCAGATGACCCCTGGTGGTTCCCTCTAGTGCTAAGAGGCCAAGGTCAGAGCAGAGCCTGGAAAAGCTCAGCAAACATTCTTTCATGGGTTTTGGCGGGGGCGATGCTCGCAAGTGCGGGGTGGTCCAGGCTCACCTCCTTCCTCACGGGCGTGCTGTGCGCTGCCGCCTCCTCCAACTGCTCCAGTGCCTGGGGCTGCTCTTCACTGCCTGGCTCAGCTCCTGGCTGCGCCCCCAGCTGTGCCCCCGCGTGACCCTCCTGGGGCTCGGCCTCCGGCTCCGGCTTCGATTCCAAGTCTGATCCCGATTCAGTTGTCATGGTCGATTGTTCTGCAAGCAGAAAACGGGAAGGGCCCATCACTTGGTGCCGTGACCTCCCCCAGGCAGGCAAGAAAGGCGGGAGGTTACAGTGAACGGCTGAAGGAAACCAGCACAGGAAAGATGGAGAAACGCTAAGAACCAAAACACGATCCCACCACACATACCTAACAACAGCCTTGTCCAATTCACCACAAGGACGGGTGCCCGTCGACGTCTCAAAAGGAACATTTAGTAGTAAATGCTAATTTGGAACGATCACAGGCTTTATCCCTATTAGATTTTTGCCACAGATGACCGTGAAATGACATTACCGTCATAATAATTACCTAACTTAGATACGTTTAATTTCAGAAAAATGAATTTTCTGAATCAGCTAGAGATACATTTTAATCTCTGGCAACGATGATCTAGTAATGGAAGCGGATGCTCTTTCTCATTCCCTTTCCCCTTCCCAGGGGCCCTGCTCTGCCCTTCCACACCCGTGAATCCATCCATTCTTCTGCGAACAAACACCCTCCCCCTCTGTGATTTTCCCGTAAATGTTATTCCCTTTTCTTCTTAAATTTATTTATTTATTTTTGGCTGCATTGAGTCTTCGTTGCTGCACGCGGCTTTCTCTACTTGCAGCGAGCAGGGGCTATTCTTCGTCGCGGTGCGCAGGCTTCTCATTGCGGTGGCTTCTCTTGTTGCGGAGCATGGGCTCTAGGCGTGTGGGTTTCAGTAGCTGTGGCTCGCAGGCTCTAGAGCACAGGCTCAGTAGTTGTGGCGCACGGGCTTAGTTGCTCTGCGGCACGTGGGATCTTCCCTGACCAGGGCTTGAACCCGTGTCCCCTGCATTGGCAGGTGGATTCTTAACCACGGCGCCACCAGGGAAGTCCCTGTTATTCCCTTTTGAACGAGTAACCACAGTACATCAGCGGCTTCTTTGGTGTTGAGGAACCTGTCCCGCACCGGACCACCCCTGGCCACGGCGGAGGGAAGCTGGGTAGCATCACCTCTCCCGCTCATCACAAGTTCACTCTCAAAGGCTTCTTCCTGGTTCCCTCCTATTTCCCGTGAGTGTTGAAGAAGTTTGTCCATCTCATATCCCATCAGGAACTCAAACAACAGATCCTGACATAGAATAATCTGCTCTTACATCCTAAAAAGGGTGCCCTAAAATATAACTGCCATCTCCTTATAACTTACTTGTCAAGACATAAGCATTTTGTGCCTCAGTTTCCACATCTGCCAAATGACATGTGATCTCACGTGAACATCATCACATCTAAAGAACCTATTTCTTTCTTTTTTTTTTTTTTTTGCGGTATGCGGGCCTCTCACTGTTGTGGCCTCTCCCGCTGTGGAGCACAGGCTCCGGACGCGCAGGCTCAGCGGCCACGGCTCACGGGCCCAGCCGCTCCGCGGCATGTGGGATCTTCCCGGACCGGGGCACGAACCCGTGTGCCCTGCATTGGCAGGCGGACTCCCAACCACTGCGCCACCAGGGAAGCCCAAGAACCTATTTCTTGCTGTTACCTCTTCCTACTACTAATAGACATACCGCTATAATTAAAGCCATTTTTTGCTCTAAGCAGCAAGAGAGCTGCTATACCAGTGGTCACCATGCCATTTTAAGTAATTTCTCATCTTAGCTATGTGGTAAATATCTCAAAAATGAATATCTCAGATAATCACATAATTTCCCTTCCTAATTCTAATTTTATGGTAAAAATACCATGAGCAAAGGGCTAGTGTAATACTTTAAGCAAATGATACACCGGTTAGTATGAGTAGAATTTTTATGAAAAATAAAACTCCATAGTAAAATTACCAGTTAGTTCCTATTTTCACAATACACATTGGAAGATGCTTAATAATTTGAAGAGGGAAACATTACAAATACCAATCTATCTTATAAACTAAATGTGGTATCTGTGCTTTCTGTTTAAGGTTACTTTTTACAATCACCAGCTATTCTGTCTGTTGAATAAAAGACCTGTCAACCTGGCATGTGCTCAGTTACCCAATGTAAATGTAAATATCAAGTCCAAATGCAAAGCCAGATAGGCATCTACATAAAACTAAAACATTTTCTCTTTCCTTCTTACATTTTACATTTTCAAGCAAATCTTGAAGGCAAATATGATATTCGCATTTTTATGCTTATACCGCGAAGTGTCAAGTCTACAGAAAAAACAGTGGAGGGGGAGGCAGAGGTGGTGATTGTGTAATTCAGAGCCTATGGTTGAATTTTACCATTTAGGAGGGGGAGGATTAATTTTAATAATCAGTTCAACTCACCCAACCCTTATTGAGTACCAAATGTAAGTCAAGCACTGCTCCTGGTTTAGAGGCAGAGATAAATATGTTGTAACCCCCTACACCCTACCTTCAAGGAGCCCAGAGTCTGTGGCTGAAATAGACTCTCTCCAGAATCTACTTTTTCCACCTTTCTTTTAGTAATCAAATTTTCCGTTTCAGCTGGCACGCCTCCACCCAGTTGGAGACCACAGTGAGTTGGGGCCATGTGATTAAGTCTGGACCCATGATACGATGGAGAAAATGTATTCAATATTTAGGTCATCTTCATAAAAAGAAAGCCACTTGCCCTAGATTTCCCTTTCCCATTGTCTGGAAAATACTGACTGATGTCATTACTACAGACCTGATCATGGAAGCCCCAAGTTGAGGAAGATGCCAGAGCCGCCCCCCTCAGCCGGGGTCCCGGGATGACCTCATGGAGGGCAGCCCACCTGCTCTGGATGGTCACACAAGGCAGAATCCTTCTGTCTTGTTTGCACCTCAGTAAACCAGCCAACACCGAATCTAATACACATTCTACAGATTAAAATTCTACCCAAACCCAGACTTGAGTGGCTCCCATCTTACTAAAACAAAGTAGCCTTCTCTTGATCTCACATCCTCTGGCAGCTACCACCATATTTCCCTGCTCTCTGCTCATAACTTCTCAAAAGTCTTGTCGACCCTGTCTCACTTCCTCATTTCTTCTTTCTCTGCCACCACTCCAGCCTGATTCCATCGGGGCTGCTCTTGTGGCCACTACAGAGGATAATCCACTCTTGCCTGTCCTTGTCTCACCTGACCTCATAGCAGCCCCAATTCAGGTGATGAGACTTTACTTGTCAACATGATTCAGAACACCCCACACTCTCCTGCTTTCCTCCTATCTCTCTGGCGACTCCTCTGCATTCACTGTTACAGGTTACTCCTTATCCAACCTCTAAATGTGGGAATGTCCCAGAAAACTCACTCCTAGGCCCTCTTCTCTTCTATTTTTTTTCCCCAGAGCTTTAAATACTTCCCACATGCCATCTCTGGTCCAAACCTCTGTCCTGAGCTTTCAGACTAGTGTCCAGCTGTGCACTGGACACTCCTCACTGACACCTCACAGGCACCTGCTGATTTCTCTCCCCTCCTCAATTTCCCCACCTCGATAAGTGGCAATGCCATTCCTTCCAGCCAGAATTGCAGAACTCACCCCTGACATTTTCCTTTCCCTTGTCTTCCTTATTAATATACAACAGAAAGTTCTGCATCCTTCAATAACTCCCTTTTCACTGCCTCGATTCCTATCCACCTCTATTCTGTTGACCTTCATAAAACATAAATCCAGTCACGTCACTCACCACAGAAAATCCTTTAATAACTTCCCAATGTGCTTGAAGTTAACATCAAAACTCTTAATTCCCATGGCCTTCATGGCTAAGCTGAGGCCTCAACACCCTACCGACACCCAGCAGCATGCCCATCCGGCCATCCACCTGAGATCCAGCCACGTGGTCTCCTTCCAGTGTGTAAACCACATCAGGGCTTTGTTCTGCTTCAGGGTTTTCTGGACACGCTGTTCTGTTTGCTGAGAACATTTTTTCCTCTGCTCTTCAAGCGCCTGACTCCTCATTCCGCAAGTGTTGGCTGAGAGAGGCCTTCCCTTGTTGCACAGTTATCCTAATTGTGCCTCGTTGTTTCCTTCCCATAATGCATCAAATTTTATTATTACTCAGCCATCTCTCCACCTCCTCCCCATATACTCAAGGGGGGAAATCATGTTTGTTTATATCTGAAAACTAGAACATAGTGGGTATTTCAATAATAATTTAATGAATGACTAAATAAAATCAACCCCATTTATTATATAACTATGCATTTAAAAGTGTAATAACTCTTCCTTATAGTTTTTAACCACTGTAAGATCCCTCTTAAGTGGGTGGGTAAAGAGTAGGTATTTCTACTCTTTAGAAATAGAAAACTGAACTCAGTTACAACTTTCAAAATCAAATCTCTCAAGGTAATAGACACTATTGTTCTGTTCACAGTCTAATGCTTTTATCAGTAGTTGTAAAGGGCTTCCAGAAACACAAAAAAGAAAATGTTCAGGTGGTTTAGAGAATCTCTATAAAAGAGTAACCTAAAAGCCACTAGGTCATGAATTTACAAAGTAAAACATAAATGACTATTAGAAAAAGCATATTTTAAGAAGATGCTTAGTTTTTCCTAGACAGGACAGTTCTAGCATATAAATCATATTATTGAAGAAATTTGAATACCTTCAATATTTTCTATCTTCTATGAATATCCTACTTAGGGTTCTCTGTTGTTATTATCTGTGTTTCAGCAGATAATGGCTATAACTTAGTAATTAGATGTCAAAAGTGTCACAGAAGCAGAAAACCAGAATCATATCTCAAAATTAAAAAATTACTTTAAAATCTATGTATAATCTTTATAGATACAATACAAGAAAATAATCAGCAGCAAATAAGTTGCCATGTATGGTCTTGGGTGACTAATTTTTTTTTACTCTCCCACTTCCCCTTCCATAAAACAAGGGGTTCGGACTAGAAATCAGTGATGACTAAGTGAGGTGGGGGTAGGGGACGGGCTGGGGGTGGTGCAGGGGGCAGTGAAAGGCCAGAAACTTGAGATCTTCTTTCTGGTAGAGCTGACAAACCTGTTGCCTCTTTCACCATCTTCTCCCAATTTCCTTACTACTTTTTAAACCTAAGGAC